TATTGAATTGGACTTATCTTGTTGCGTCACTAGTTATGTATTAAGTCATCTTTCTAAGTTCTGCATAATGGAATGACTTCAGTTAAACAAACATTCAAGAGAAGGAAGCACTGATGAGCATTATATCATTCATTAGTGGTACACATTCATAATCAATCGTTGGTCACCGGCTACCATGGGACTGTATCTCCTTACGATGCTCCACTGCCTTATGGATCAGATCTTTAGCTCGAAGGCTTCAGGTGTGGCCCCCTAAGAAAACCTCCTGCTTCGGTTTGGGCACCCGGGCAGTATCACAGCCCTCACATATATCAAATGAGATCTGTGTGGCGGATATATATTTGGTGCCTCCTTGTACTGATATCTATGTGTTCAAATAAAATCAATAAACATAATCAACAAACCTATATAATTTAAGCTTTGTGGTTATTTCTTAACCTACAGTTGACTAAGGTGATATCCAGTAGTTTACATTCCAAACTTCATTTAATTCATAATATTCTATAACTTTTATTCATTGCCACTGATGGTATTTGCCTCATACTTGATGTGGTGAAATAACTCCTTTGTTTACGATTTCCTGATAGATTTCTGTAATTTACCTGTTGAATTTGATGATTTGTATGCACCATGGCACTTGTTATTTTAGGATATGATGAAGATTGTTCGATTTAATCGGCTAATACATCATGTTTTACAGTTTATTCTAAAGGATAAAATCAATGATTTCAGATTAGAACACTTTTTAATTTATAGGAAACCCCTGATCAATTAGTAACACTAGCCGATCTAATAAATGAAACACTGAATTGTCAGTTGTATTAATTATATCGTCTTTATGAGTCCTACTCCATTCGAACGATATCACCAGTAATTAAACTCATGTTGATTTATCGCTCTATGCTAAATCTAAAAACATTTACTTGGTGATTAAGATCAATAATCTAACAATTCATCAGAATTATTCATTGAATATAGTATACTACTGTTCATATTTTGATTAAAAGTAATAATACTCTAGTTGTTTTTATCTTTTCTCTCCAGATTGGTGATTATGTGGATTGTGCAATTGTTGAATATACTCCAGGTTCTTTAGGTGGTTGGTCATCTGGACGACGTCCACTTGGTCCACCACCACCACCATCAACAACAACAACTGGATCTGATCCACGTGGTTCTACACTTGAAGAAGCTCGAATGATATAATCATTTCTGATAAATATAAAATATCATTTGTAAAATGTCTACTTTTATCTGTTTTTTTTTTCTAAATTTTTTTTTGTAAATAAAACATATGTTGATTGTTTTACACTTGTTTTAGTACTTGTTCTGAGTTTACGCGTTCTGTTTACAGTTAGAGTTGTTTCAACTGATTTGTTACAATTGATTAATCACTGGTTAGTGACTAAAGTTATGTTCATCTAGTCATTTAATGCAAGTGGTCGAATTCGATCGAACGTACGGCAATATAGTCACTCGTCTAAGGGATTCAGGATCATTTACACGTTGTTTTGATGTTAGATGGTCTGAGGTAGTCTTTTGAGAAACTCTCTAGAGAGATTGGAAATCTATGACACATTTGTCAATACTGAGTGATCGAAAAATGCTAGTGTTCTAGTTCTCTGCTAGGTTAGTCTCTCCAGAATAGTGAAGTGGTTAACTCCTCAGACTACGGAAGTAAGCTATGCTGGCTAGAATATCACTTGCCTCAAGATTTTTGGTAAGTGACAACTAGCACGAGAGGTAGGAACAGGATTTCCTGCCAACTACCTCTGGTTAACTAATATGTTTAGATATGGTTGGAAGATACAACAACTCTCCTGTGGTGGGCATGTTTCAGAATCTTTTGCATTCACGTCCTCAGATTTTAGGTTTCTAGGTCCCACATAATCTTTTCATTTTACCAACTTATACTTTCTTGAGTCATATCTTCAATAATGTCACTGTATTCACTACCTTGTAATTTCCTCTGACAATTTCGAATACATTCATTCTTTGTCTTTCTGAAAACCTAAGTTCCTAGATTACCTGAAGGAAATTTCAGTCCACTAACTCAAATCTCATTATCGATCTCTAATCTTTATTATCGCAATTCCTTTCACCACGTCTGTTACTATTTTATTTTCATCTGGTGCTAATGTGATATGGCAACTTGAACTGATGTTTACATGTGTGAGGTTGTCTTCTGCTTTTGACTGGCTGACGAAAAGTCCATAAGTTCAGGTGAAAATGGTACACTGTTCCATGATGGAAACTAAATTAACCACTATTTTCAAAGCCTTGTTCCTTTGATTTAATAGAATAGATCGTTATTTTCGATACATTTATCGTACTTCGATTGCTTTGTTTTTAAATATATGCAGTACTTACGTTCGGTTGTATGTGGGTGAAAATGTCAGGTTCGACAAGTTGTAAATTTAGTGATTTTAGGTAAAATTAAAGTAACCAAGTTTAAATGAACTACCGTCGGACGTGTGCACGCAATGATGGGTTTTCATGCGTATCCAATTAAAACCGATATTATAAAGACAAACGAATTAAGATAAACTTGAATAACTGTTGAAATGGTCATGAAAAATTGATCAGTTTCTCATGGGGAATGTATATTTTCAAGGTATAGGAATGTTGAAGGTTAGGGATACTGACACATATATCCGATGAGAGCAGTCAAAATGTGTGTACGATTAAGATTTATCTATTTGGTACGTTTTTAATTCCTAATTGATCTTAACTAACAATATCTATTGGGGTCTTCAATATTCATGCTGCTTTTAGTGCAACAAAAGTAAATTCCTAGATAAACCATAGAAGTTTAATGATGGCTTGAAATAAACACGGTAGTGTGTTACGACGAATAAGTCTTGTGATTTATAGTTTTTCATGGAAGACAACATCACCAGGGGCTTCAAAGCCGATTTACTTTTCATAGGTATCAATGCCATGGTTAGACATGATCGTTTCATATAAATTGAGTATTGGGTAGAGTGTTCATTGTAAATATATTGTTTGTTATATCCCGATGAATAGAGTGATTGTATCCAATTCGGTTATTTATTTGTTCTGAAGAATTGGCTTACATGAAGTTACGTAAAGCCAGAAATGGAAGTTTTCTACTCATTAGCTTATGACAAAAAATATACTGATAAACTTTTGTTTTACTTGAAAATATATACTACTCAGTAGTAGTAGCATAGTTTACGATCACTAAATAGTTATCAATAACATGTTTGCCTGGAACTAAGTGGTTGTCCAGTCCTTTCAACGAAGTTCCAGTGTGAAGGCCAGTTCAAGTCACTTGATATCGACACCTGAACTCTAAATATAGTGCATACAATCTGGAATTTTTGGTGTGAGGGTTAAGATCGTACTTGTGGCAGTGTTCCATCAAGGCAGCAGATTCTGCTTGTTGGTGAATGCCGACTCGTTTGAAACCAAAGCCTAGAAATTCCTGTTGACTGTCTCCGGCTACAGAACACTAACCATTGATTACACATGTTATTTACAATAACTTTAGAATAACTACTAATTAATCAGAGTAGAGAGTATAATTTAGCTCATTTGGCTGCGTTAGTTTAGATAGAGTTTCCTGAACTAGATAGTTTCAGAATGAAGATCACTTCATTCTGGATAACAGGAGCTTGACAACACGGGAACGTCATATGAGGTTTGAATCTAGTATCACTGCATAAGATATTGCCAACAATTATTAACACGACAGCCTGTACCGACCCATATAGCAAATTATCTCATTTCTCTTTTGTTTCTTTTTATTACCACAGATGAAACGTAGTATATCTGAAGAAAAAAAGTGGTGGCATCCAAACAAATTACCACCAATTGGTTACCAATCCAATATTCTTCATGATCATGATAGGAAATCATTTTATCCATTCAATAGTGAATTGGGTTATAGAATTTTTAAAAGAATAATAGAAATGAAGCGAACAAGTATGAAACAGGAAAACGATCAAGAAAATCCATATCATTCAAAATATGTTAATCAAATGAATAATGATGAACATTTTCTTTTAAAGCATGGTGTTTGTTCACAAAAACCTAACTCAAGTAAGTATTTGATTTTATATGTAAAGATTAAACTGTATAATAATGTTAAAGATTCAATGATTAGTTGTTTAAAGTCTGCGGAATATTTTTGGGTAATGTAGCACAAACTGTTCGGGTCGGGTGGGGGGCTTAACTGTACTCATTCTCTATCTTTCTAGAAATTTCGAGTTATGTATCATCCAAACTTTCATGTTTTTTTTTAGTTTCTTCTTCGAGTGTATATTCAAAGATTTGTACTTTTCTGTTGTTTACATTAAGAACTACAACCAGTCAGTCGGGAAACACTGCTTAAATACCACTGTGAGTCACTATCTAAATGCATCATGACTTGTAACCGTGACGTTTTGAGAAAATTAGATGTGCTATGGTTAGATATTCTAACTGATTGCATGCGCTATATTACCAGTTGAACTGGTAAGCTATTCGACAAATTTACACATTGATCAAAGATCAGTAATCAAACGAACCATTCACCTCAGAGAACGAAACTTCACCAACAGCGGCTGACCATTCTCAGTTCATAGAATCATCAAAGGATTCCGTACACATAATTTTATACCCAGTGAATATGCCAGTAGGTTGTCGGACTCAGTAAATTGATATAAAATTTTTTTGTCTTTGAAGTGATATGTATTAGATTCGAGTTTCAAGATTAACATCAACGTTGGGATGTGAGTGCATTCAGCCGATAGGTTCCGAAAATGAAGCAAACACATCCTGGATTCCACTACTGGTTATATTAAGAGCCAAATAAAGCCTACAAATATTTGGGCACTCAAATACCGAATACTGGCAAAGTAGAAGACTAAGTAACAGGGATTATGATTTCCGAATCGCTTTACTCCAACTTTAAGGTTCATGGTGGTTAGAATCAAAGAACTATCTGGTTAAGTGTTCATTTAGGTAGTTACAATTCTTGTTCTTTCGAACCACTAATCCTAGATCTTAATCCAGTTCACAACACTGGCCATTTGTTAGACTTTTATTTGATAAGTTACTGGTTTACATCACCTGCATTACAACTATTGTATGAATTCTAATCAATAGGTTTGCACCCACCAATATGATTAACACCACAATTTACTGATTAAATGTACAGAAATTGCGTTAAGGTCTTCTCAACCCTATCGTTGGGCTCACCTTCTCCTAAAGTAATCAGTTTTTCATGTTTCTGTGGGCTGCGCCTTGGTATAACTAATACATTCCTAAACTATCACAATCAATGAAGATTCGATGCCAGATCTATCGCCTTGCTATTTGTACTTAGTAGCCTTCTTATAACTTAATTCTTACCTAGTATGAATTGCTCGACATCTACTCAAATCGTGCATTTCATAAGTCATATTTAACAATGTTAGAGTAATAGTAACGGGGCTTCCAGTCTCGATAAAATAATATTTTCAAATCACATGGTGATGTATGTACTTATGACGACAAATATAAATAGTATATAACACCAAACAGTAATGGAAGGTATAACAGAAGAAAATTGGAAAGATCGAATCAAATAGAATGAGAACAGAGATTAATTGTTATGGGCTGACAGAAGTAGTTGAATTGTTTGTAAACGGTGGAGACACAAGAGAGTAATGTTGGTTTTATTCGATTCTCTTCAGGTAGTCTCATTTATTAATTTAATGCATAACTGGATATACTACTTTTTATATTCTTGATAAGTATGATACTAGTCAACATTGAAGTGAACTTTTGTTAATCTTATCTTTATTGATTTGCAATATTGTGCTATCATCATTTGAAATAATTAAATTCAACTAGTCACTGTTTGTCAACAGTATTCCGTTGAAATATTCAGACTATCTGTAAAGATCTCTCACTGAACTATTACTCACTTTCTGTGTGCACCATAATTGGTATACATTTTGTGTAATAATCAGTTTCATAAGGGTATATGTAGTAGGAATTGATCATTTTAAATCAAGATATAGTAGATAGGAGTTTTATTTTCGTTTAAAATCTATTAAAATCAATGAACCCTTGAATAAATATAAGACTGAACCGATGATATTTACGTCTCATATATCCACTGGCAATTGGATCCATGATAGTGACCACAGTTCTGGTGAGATGCCTTGACCCTTAGTGTTTTGTCTTAGGGCAACATTTGATCACGACCAGTTAGTATCTGTTGATTTATTTACAAAATTTATCTAAATCTACTTAATCATTATTATTGCGAATCAATAACTTGGCTTTAATCATTTGTTGTATTCTACTAAAATACCACAAATGATTATCCATTCCATATTAGTTGTTAAGTAGTTCTTCAACTGCGCTCTGATTCATAATTTTACAAAACAAGTTTTTATCAGTATAATAATTTGTGTAAATTATAGTATTTTCAACATTGAATTCACGAGCCGATCGAAGTGGGATCGAATCTGTGTGGAATATGAGACATTTATCCACCTCAAACAATGGGTGAAGGGTTATGAAATACCGTGGATTGATTTAAGTTAGACGTTAACACAATTGGATTCCGACATAATAATCTAGAGGTTGTAAGTTAGCATGCGGATCCACACTTCTGAGGAGTCGCTTACTTGGACGTAAGAACCGTCTAATACTTGCAGGTTTTCACTGTTGGTCTAGCTTAGTTCGATTTGTGAATTCAACAGTCAAAACAAGGTTTATTTCTGCAAATATCCACATGCCATTTACTGTTTACTGTTTTCTCTATGTTCATAGTTTCGTCGAATTTTGCATTCAATCAATTGAGGTCCATAGAAAATATGTCAGAATTTCATTCAACCTTAAAATGTGACATCGATGATATGGATCAGTCGTAGTTTGTGTGGTATTTGTGTTGTGAAAGCGAATCCTTGTCACATTGTGTTGAATATATTGTGTTAGGTTAAATAAATACTCATTAGAATGGATTGAAATGTATTTCTTGTCTGTTTCTTCTTAAAATCCATCGAGAAATGTAACCAGGTTTAGGAATAAGTTAAATCCATAAAACTATTCACTTGATTAAGCAATGAATCAGACTAGTGTTAGTGCTATTGATATTATAATAGCATTAATATTAGCATAAGTATCATTAGTATTAATTGTAGTATTAGTAGTGTTAATAGTAGTAGTATTATTAGTAACATTAGTAGTAGTATAGATAGTATTTGTAGTACCAACAGTAATAGTAGTATTTTTAGTCTTAGTATTAGTAGTATTCTCAGTATTATTAGTATTAGTAATATTAGTATTATTAGTAGTGTAACAACTATTTTGGTATCAGTATCATCATTAGTATTAAAATTGGTATAAGTAGTATTAGTAGTGTTAATAGTATTATTATTAATAGTGGTATTAGTATCAGTATTTTCGGTATTAGCAGTATTAGTGTTATTAGTAGCGTTATTGGCATTATTAGTAGTATTAGAAGTAGTATAGCAGTATTAGTAGTATTTGCAGTATTATTAGTAATAGATTTATTGATAATGTTAGTACTATTAGAAGTAGTAATAGTGGCATTAGTATTATGAGTATTATTATTGGTATTAGTAGTCTTAGTGGTATTAGCATTATTAGCAATATTAGTAGTATGAGTAAAGTGAGTAGTATTATTATTAGTAATAATAGTATTCGTATTGTGAGTTTTATTGATGCTATTAGTAGTACTAGTAGTATCAGTATTATTAGAAGTAGTGATATTGGTATTAGTATTATTAGTAGTATTAGAAATATTATTAGTATTAACAGTATTATTAGTATTATATGTAGTAATAAAAGTATTTTTAGTATAGGTAATATTAGTGATATAATTAGTATTATTAGCATTATTGGTCATTTTAGTAGTATATGTAGTGCTAGTAGTATTAGTATCAACAATAATATTAGTATCATTATCAATAGTATTAACAGTATTCGTAGCATAAGTAGTGTTAGTAGCATTCGTAGTAAGGGTAGTACTAGTAAACTTAGTAGTATTAGTAGTAGTAGTAGTAATATGAGTATTATTATTAGTCGTTTTAGTTGTATTATTACTAATAATAATATGAGTAATATTCGTGGTATTGATAGTATTAGTAGTGTTAGTAGTAATATGTTTAGTTTTCGTAGTATAAGTAATATGAGAAGTATTAGTAGTATCAGTACTAGTAGTAGTCGTAATACAATTAGTAGTATCAGAAGGAATAATGGTATTAGTTGTATTAGAAGCAATAATAGTGTTAGTAGTAGTATTGGTAGTTTTATTAGTGTTATTAGTATTATTGGTGGTTATAATAGCGTTGTTAGTATTGGGAGCAGTATTAGTATTAGTGACATTAGTAGTAGTATCAGTAGTATTAATGGTCGTGTTAGTAGTAGTAATCGTAGTTTTAGTAGTATTTAATAGTATTAGTAGTATTAGTGTTATCCGTAATAATATTATTTGTAGTAGTATTAGTAGTTTAAGTGGTAATATAAGTAGAATTAGCATAGGCATTATTCGTAGTATTAGTAGTACTATTAGAATTACTATTATCAATAGTATCACTTGGATTAATAGTATATGCAGTATGAGCAGTATTAGTAGTAACAATAGTGTTAGTAGTAGTATTAGTAATTATATGGGTATTACTAGGATTAGTGTTATTATTAGTATTAATAGTATTAGTATTATTAGTGGTATTAGCAGTGTTAGTATTATCAGTATTAGTATCAGTAGTATTGGTAGTATTAATAGTATTATTATTAGTAGTAGTACTATTATTGTGGAGCCCGGTGTTTTGTCGTCGTTCAGATCGTACGATGTTTGTCGATGGGCTTTCCACTTTAGTGGCCCGATACCTGACTCCAAGTAGATGGTATCAAGGATTGTTGTTGAAATGATCGTCGTTGAAATATATATGTCGTCACTCCTCGTTTACAATTATTCATTTAGTCAACCGTTAATCAATATTTATAGCCTCACAAAAATAGGTTACAGACATGTGATCAATAATGGGATCAGAAGTGTATACACACATATGCGCTCATATAAAAACAGTCGAGGTTGATAAGCGAATAATTAACAAGGTCAAAATGTGACTGAGGTAAAATGAATAGAGAGGCTCATCCGGAAATCAAAACAATGTATGTGGGCTTAACATAATAACGAACACTACAGTACTAGTAGTAATAGTGGTAGTATTGTAGTTTTAACAATATCAAAAGTATAAGTTGTGTTAGTAGTATTAGTGTTAATATTAATAGGTGTAGTATTTGTAATATCAGTAGTATAAGTAGTATGACAGTAGTATTATTTGTGTTAGTAAAAGTATTAGTAGTATTCGAGGTATTCGTAGTATTAGTAGTAATATTACTGGTATGAGTAGTGTTATCAGTATTAGTTGGATTATTATTATTAGTAGTAGTATCAGGAGTATTTGTAGGATTGGTAGTATTAGTAGTATTAGAAGTAATAGTAGTAATAATAATATTTGTAGTAGTATTAGTGGTATTAGTGTTATTGCCCCCAAATGCCCTGGTACGGTCAAGAGTGGGGAGAGTCCGCTCTCCCTCTCGAAATGCTCTCACATGGCCACGCGTACATAGCCCCTGCCAGGGAAGTCCTAATCTCTGCCTTCACGTGGCGTTACTGTTGTTTACGAAAATGAGAGGACGAAAAGCGAATTTCCGGCGCTTTAACCGGATCCCAAATCAATGGTGCACATGGGCTGGCCCCAGTATCCTGAAGGAACAAATGGCGTATGAACCAATCGTTGTTCATCGGCTACCATGGGACTGCATCTCCTCACGATGCTCCACTGCCTTGTGGGTCAGACGTTCAATTCGAAGGCTCGGGGTGTAGCCCCCTAAGAAAACCTCCTGCTTCGGTTTGGGCACCCGGGCAGTATCACAGCCCTCACACATATCAAATGAGATCTGTGTGGCGCATATGTATTTGGTGCCTTCTTGTACCGATATCTATGTGTTAAAATAAATAAATAAATAAAATCACTACAGTACTATTGGTAGTGTTAGGAACATCATTAGTATCAATATTTTTCTTAGTTTTTGTATTATTAGTAGTTTTATGATGGCTTTTTGAATATTAATAGTATTAGTACTTTTAATATTATTAGTAGTATTAGTAGTAATAGTATTATTTCAATGATTAAGATCATGAGTCAGTTGAAGCTAGACCACCATGGAAAACCTGGAAGCACTGGACGGCCGTTTCGTCCCATTATGGGACTCCTCGGCAGTGCGCATCCACGACCTCGCCCCCTGCGAGATTCGAACCCAGGACCTACTGGTTTCGCGCGCGAGCACTTAACCACTAGACCACTGAGCCGGCATCCAACGGTGTTCATGTCTAACTTCAACTAATCCACGAAATTGAGCGACACATCCACCATTGTCTTCAGTGAGTTACCATCCCACAACAGACCTGGTTGAACTCCACTGGTCACTACTTCTCACTAGAACTCCAGGATATACCTCTTGAAGCCAGTCACTAGTGAGCATATGTTGATTATTATCAGAAGGGGTGTAATCATTGAAATTACTACAATCTCCACAAAACCCCTTCTGATAATAGTATTATTATTAGTAGTTTTGTCAGTATTAGTAGTATGAGTAGTATTGACAATATATGTGGTATTATTAGAATTAGTTGCATTAGTAATAGTATTAATATTGTTAGAATTATTAGTAGTGTTAATAGTATTATTAGTAGTATTTGTAGTTATAGTAGTATTGGTAATATTAGTATTATTATTACTAGCAATAGTATTAGTAGTACCAGTAGGATTAATATTCATAGTAGTAATAGTAGTGTTGGTAAGACTAGTATTATTAGTATTAAGTGTATTGATATTATTAGTAGTATGAGTAGTAATAATAGTGTCGGCAGTATTAGTAGTAATAGAAGGTTTAGTAGTATCATTATTAGTAATAGTAATGGTAACAGTAGTATTAGTAGTAGTATTAATAATATTAGTAGCATTAGTAGTATTAGTGGTATTAGTAGGATCACTAGTATTAATATTATTAGAAGAATCAGTAGTCTTGGTAGTAATATTTGAAATATTAGTCGTACTGGTAGTAGCATTACCAGTAGTAATATTATTGTTAATATTACTAATATCAGTAGTACTCGTAGCATTATTAACATTAGTAGTATTAGTAGTAATATAAGTATTAGTAGTAGTATTGTTACTATTGATATTATGAGTACTAATGGTAATTTTAGTAGTATTGGTTGTATTAGTGGCATTTGTAGTAGTAATAATAATAAGATTAGTAGTGTTAGTAATATAATCTGATCGATGGTTTCCAATCTCAATATACAACCTGTTACTAAGTTGGAAACTGAGTAATCTAGAAGCAGGTTTGGAGATAATCCATATCCAAAATTGTATCATTGAAAGGGGTTACACAGCATGGAGTAAAGACAATAACAGACTTTACATTATCTGAATGATTAAGGCTTCTTCGATAGTTCCATTGATTGATGAAATCGGAACGTCAACAGTAGACAATTCTATAACAAGATCTTCAGTAAATTCATTTCAAATAAGATAGTAAATAGTTACAGTGTTTAGTCATAGCTGAAGCGAAACCATCTAGGAATCCACATCAAAACTACCGGGTTTTCACTTCACTCTGTCTATAGAAAAGTAGTAGTCATTAGTA